TGCATCAAGAAAATCCAGCCATGCAGGAAAAAAAAAGGTCAAGCATTTGGCAGTTGTAAGTATCTAAAAACACACAAAGACATTAGATAGCACTTTGAGACAAGATTAGGATCAAAATTTATTTTCACAAATGATTTCTTTCTTTTTGCTTTCTTTCTTAAATTTAGGGTATATAGCTAAACTGAACTTTTTCTTTTTGGTATGTAGTATGCCAGCTCGGTAAGGCTGTTCTTGAGGACTATCGTAAGATGCATCATGTTGGTTATGCATTTAGTGGAATCCTCTACTAAATTAAATACAATAATGGGGAATTATTTTTAGAGTTGATAATTTTCTGGATCCCCATTAAAGTTACCGATTCACTGGTTGTGTGATTGTAAGGAACTTTACAGAGTGAAGATTAGAAATTTAGTGTTTGTGGGGTTTGAGTTGTGTGTGTATGTGTGCGTTTTGGACTTGAACTGTGTTTGTGCTGGAAGTACTGTGCATTTACTGTGCTTAAAACTTGCCCTTTTTTGGTGAATTTTTTCTGGTATTTAATAGAAATAGGTTTTTTTCTCTTTTTTGAGTGGATGTGAAAATAGTTATTTAAGTTGAGGTTACTAAAAAAATGTATAAGGTGCGTGTTAAAATGGTGGTATGTGTTCTAGTACTTTATCATGACTGTTTTTAGAAGCGGCTTTACTAAGCTTCTGTTCAAACCGCGCAGCCATAACCTTGCTGTTTAACAACCACTGGCTGGCTAAAGGAACCGTCTTATTTTATTTCTTCATTACGAGAAGTTCCCTGTACTCAAGAGCTCCTTCCTTTCATTATGAGGGTTGCTAATTAAAGAACAGGGATCTGCCATTCTAGGCAGTAGTTTCTCTTTCCTGAGTGTCTTTGAGTTTGGCTGTGAGTTATTGCTGAGGTTGCAGTGTGTAACTACAAAAAATCTTTCTGCTGGTTTCTAACTCATTTCCTTGTAAAAGCTCTCTGGAATTTGTGGGAAATTATGGATTGTTCTTAACCATGCATGGAATACATACACACACTGCACACACACATCCTCTCATTTTCCTTTTAGTTTCAGCAGACTTTTCAGCTCCTCAAGTAACACTACTAAGAAGCCTGAACCACCGGTTAATCTGAAGTACAATGCACCCACCTCTCATGTTACTCCTTCCGTCAAGAAAAGAAGCAGCACCTTATCTCAGCTCCCTGGGGATAAGTCCAAAGCCTTTGATTTCCTTAGCGAAGAGTAAGTATTTTTCAGACTAGTGGTTATACCCTAAATAACTTAACAGTTCAGAATATTCTTGCCCCTTATCAGATCAGCTATAAGTGTTTGGATAAATCTATAAAGAAACTGTTCCTATAACTTGACTGCCTTTAAGTATGTTGCTCCTAGTTTTCATAAAGAGGAGAAATTTTTTAAAATCTCCTTTTTGCTAGTTTGACAACATTGATAAATATTAATAGAAATGTTGAAGACCTATATAAGCCCTTGTCCTAGTTGTTTGATCCTTTCCTCTGTTGTCAGAAGGAACTGGCTTTCCATCCTGACCCTGCTGCTCACTAGGTAGATGAACTTGGGAAAGTTAATCTCTCAGAGCCCCAGTGTCTCTACCTGTAAAATGAGTATGATAACCTACCTTAGAGGTGTTAGGATTAAGTTATATAGTGTCTACAAACTGCCTGACACAAGGTAATTTTTTCATGTTATTTATGCTATTTTAGCAGGGGAGGGGAGGTAAGCTGTTGTTATATTCACTTAATTTAAAGAGGAAATTTATTTTCCTTTTAGAACTGAAGCTAGTTTAGCCTCACGCAGAGAACAGAAGAGAGAACAGTATCGTCAGGTAAAGGCACATGTTCAGAAGGAAGACGGTAGAGTGCAGGCTTTTGGCTGGAGTCTGCCTCAAAAGTACAAACAGGTAACGTTTGAACATGGTAAGAGCATCTAATGGGAAATGCAGGGGGGAGGAGTAGGCCTGGGCATGAAAGACTCGAACTACACATCCCAAGCCTGCTCAGTTTCAAGTGGCATGGATTTGGCACACGTTTAGAGAAGTATTGAGGGTAGTGGTTTTTAGGCGGTTTTCTAGAGCCCTTCCGCTCAAGAGAAATGCCTCTGAGTTCTGTGAGGAAGGAGAGGGGTCAATAGGAGGTGGCTGAGTACATGTGACTTGGGGTATCCTATTCTATTTTAATATTTGAAGATTTTGTTTAAAAAAAAAAAACAGTATCTGTTGTTTAAAAGTTTTAAGAAACCTTTGTCATGGAGCTTTCAAACTGTTAACTTAAAACTCAATTCAGGTCTTCAGGAACTTTACCATATTCCCTACCTGTAACACACACACACACACACACACACACACACACACACACACACACACACACACACACACACACACGGTCACAGTCACACCACATGTGTGCACTAACAGATCTGTGAATTAGTGTATCTTTTCTGAGCTCCCAAAGCAGCATTTTATTTTCTCTAATTGCCACTTGATTTTCTGCTTATTTTTCAAATAAGAATGACAAAGTTAACTTGAACTTGACTTCATAGAGTAAATATGTTACAGCAGTGCTTGTCCATGTCTCAGTGGTTCTGTAAGTTCACTTTTTTTTTTTTTTTTTTTTTTTTTTTTTTT